TTTTTGAGACAGGGTCTCCCTATAGCCCCAGCTGGCCTGGAACTGGCTATGTAGACCAGGCTGGCCTCGAACTCACAGAGATCCACCTGCCTCTGCCTCCCAAGTGCTGGGGATAAAAGGCGTGCACCACACCCAGCTAAATATTTCCATCTTTAAATTGGGTATGGCATTTGCTACTCAAATGTGTTTGGAATGTAAGTTATATTTTTAGAGAAAAATACAGAGAAAGCTTGACATCAGTGGCCTAGAGTCAGTATAAAGTGAGAATCTATGTAGGTCCTCCATGAATACAAAGGAATTAGGCTCTTGTTTTTCTTCCTTTTGTAATGCAACTCTTTCATTTCTTGCCCCTGTTTAAGGTTTACTCATTTTAGATATCTTAAAATACACCCCTGATGCAGCAGACTTGGTTCATCACTTTCCCAAGCTATACATAATTTGTTACATCCTTCAAGTTGGGAATGGAAAAAATCTAACAGATCATCTTTGGCCAGAACAGGATACTGTTTCCTGATAGAAGACCTATCTGATGTGAAATTAATACTGCCCTTGATCTCACCAGGTGAAGAAAAGTACAAAGAATTCCCTGTAAGCTAATTCCACCACTCCCTTAATTATTCGTATTGTTTTCCTTGCTTGACTCCAGGCTTTGAGCCAGGAGGATTCTGGAAACAATATTCCGTCCTCAGTCACTCTCCTACAGCTTACAATGGGATGACATCTTCTTTCCCAAGTGGGTTAGATTCTGATAGCTGCTGGCCATTGGGTACTGGCAATTCCTATTGAGCTTTCATTCCCCAGCCATTGATCTTCTACCCTCCTTTTCCTTCTTGTTCCCACTCAGTTTCTCCTTTTCTGAACCTACTGTGAGTTTTCTGAACATTGAATATTTATTTAAGATGACCCCCACCTCCACCACCCACTGATTCTATCTTTAGTTTTCAAAACTCCAAGTAGCTTCTGCCAGAATCCATGGCTCCAGGATGCCATTCTCCAGGAACACAGACAGGAAATCTATAGGTTTGCATCTTGCAGAATATCTTTCTGCTCTTTCCTATCCTCTGTCCTAGTCCTTCTCTGAATGAAGTATGACATGACTTTTGGAGAGTTATAACATCTTTACATAAGATTTTCAGAAACAAGTGTGTTTTCTAATTAGAAAATGAGATTCCTTTTGTATAATAGTTTAAAAGTAAGAAAGACAGATGGACACACATACATATACCAACTAAATAAAATAACATCAACTTTTTAAAATAAAATTCTTTATCTGTAGAATATGTA